GGTGTGTCCCCTTCCCCGCTTTCTGCTCCCTCCTTTCCCCACCTTCTCCCCTTTCCTCTTCTCCCCAGTCTCTATGCTCTGAGCTGACCCCAGCTCCTTCCTGGGAAGACTCTTCCTTCCTGTCCCAGACATGTTGCTTCTCCTCCTAGGGCTGCCACTCCCCACCACCGTCCCCAGCCCCGCTCCGTTCAGGGCTGGGACTCTGCCCCCGGAGCATCCTCCCCAGCTGACATCACCCATCCCACTCCAGCCCCAGGCCCCTCTGCCCACGCTGCACCCAGCGCCGCCAGCGCCCTGACCCCAGGACCTGCCGCTGCCGCTGCCGACGCCGCAGCTTCCTCCGTTGCCAAGGGCGGGGCTTAGAGCTCAACCCAGACACCTGCAGGTGAGTTGTGGGGTGGCAGTTGCTTAGGAAGGCCCTGTTCTGGAGCAGGTCCAAGGTGAGCCTGCCAGTGGGAGAAGAGCCAGGAAAGGGCAAGCTGTTGAATGTGTTGAACAAATATTTACCAAGCGTCTGCTGGCACTGGGATCCGCATAAACAAGGCTTACATTCTAACGCGGGAGTCCAACACAAAGACATATGACGCCGGCAGAGGCTATGAAGTCCTGTGGTAAGGGGCACTTGACATCTTCTTTGAGGGGTTGGAGATATCCTGGAGGAGGTGACATCTGCCTGGAGTAAAAATGAGAGAGACAGCTTTCCAATGTGCAAGGCTCTGGGCCTTCCCAGAAGCTCCTGTGGTAGACGTTTGTCCCACTTTATGGACTCTGAGAGGCCAGGGGACCTAGTGTAACTCTTGCCCAAGGGCTTCTCAACACCCCTTCCACAGTAAGGCCATGGGTGGCATCAGGCGGGCTAGGCCAGTTGGGGCTTCCCAGGGGTGTTAGAGGGGAATGAATTTCACAGACGGTAACGAGGGGGTGAGTCCAGAGGAGCAGGTGCTGAGCTGCAGCAGCATGAAGACCCCTTTTCTTCCTTCCTTAGGTGCCGGAAGCTGCGAAGGTGACACATTGCTTTTCAGACTCAGCGGGGCCACTTGCCTCACAGGCCACACCCCAGAGGGGGACTAGAGGGCAGCCTGGTGAGAACAGTACAGCCCCCCAAGACTTCAGCCCGGGCGGAAGCTGCTCCAGGACCTGGGCCTCTCAGAGGGCTTTCTGTCCATCCCTTGCCTCTACATACTGCTGTCCAGCAGGGTGGGCAGAGTTGGATGAGGAGACTTTGAGGCAGCAAGAGGGGTCGCATACCAACTTGGGAGAGAATGGGTCCTATCTCACTGTTGACCACCTTGTGCAAGTGAGCATCTTACAACTGGCTCATCTCTCCCCTAAGAAGAACCCGATCTTCTACAAAGAACAGAAGTTGGGCTTCGGTATGAGAACTCTGACCCCCAACCCTGATAAAAAAAGATGGAAGGAGCTGTCCGTGCCTGTGTCACTCACTATTTGTCACTGTCGCTGTTTTGGACGTGAATGTCTGTATCACACTGTCTCCTAGACTCAGAGCTTCTTACTCCATTCATTGTGCACATGGAAGAAATGAGGCCCAAGGTCTTACACCAGGTCACACAAAGCCAGAACCGTGTATTCTTCACATTCATGTTATCACCAGGCTCTGGGGAGTGCTGAGTCCCTGTCCCCCTGCTCATCACAAGGGTTTTTTTTTTTTTCTGGAAGGAGGTGGCCTGTTAATGGTCAGTGAGCTTGAGGTGGGACCCAGATTTGCTGAATGACCTTGGGTATCACTGCCCCTCTCTGAGCCTCACATTTCCACAGGTACCCATGGAGGGAACATAATTGCTGTGGTCTGGGTCCTTGGGCTCCAGGAAAGTTTGAGTATGTCTTCCCATGATAGAAAAGAACACCCATCTTTCCTGCCCTGCACACTCTGTGTTTGCTGCCTTTTCTCCCTGTATCTTAACTCTAAAGCCATGTACCTGCCCTGTCTCCACCTCACTCCACCTTCTTGAATGGGAAGCACCAAAGGTCTGTGGCCGGTGGGCTTGGTTTGGGAGACAAGCCCCCCTCACCCCAACCACACAGTCTTCTCTACCTTCACCTCCCTTGAACCTTGGGTGCCCCTCACCAGCCCCTGCTTGGGACTCTCTTAACCTTTGCCCCAGCTCAAGCTCAGTGCCCAGCCTTCTGCCTGCTTTCAGTACCCCAGGGGCTGAGGGGTGAGTGGGTGGTCCAAAGACCAACTCTGGGCACAAATGGCTTTGCCCTGCTGCAGGACATTCAGGGGCAGAAGTTAACTCAAAGCAGACACTCTTTGAGGCCTCTGAGGCGTCAGATTGGAGGGCGTACTAGTGATTTTGTTGGGCCCAAGGCAAGAGGGGTGGAACCAGGAGAGACAATTCCTGAGAATGATTGTTTTCATATGACAGTCATCCTGTCAGTGAAAATGCCACAGCCCAATTGAGTGAGACAGATGAGGTGTAGGGACCTAGAGCTACTGCCTCCTGAGTCCATTTAGCCTCACTGGGCATGCACAATGCTTCCTATGCATCTCCTTGCTTAGTCCTCAATTCTGAGGTCAGCACTGTGGCTTTTTTCAGTTGAGATAGGCTTAGAAAGGCTGATTGACCTGAGGTTTGATCTCAAATCAGCTGTCTCCCCAACACAACATGTTTAGCTGCCTCACAATGGCAGGTTCATTACTTAAACTGAGATGTGTACTGCTGGGTGCTGGAGTGTCTGCAAGTAAGTCTGGTTAGGGACCGGGCCCAGCCAAACCATTACAGCCTGACTCTGGTCTGTATGCAGCAAGTAGGGGCAGGCCTGGACGCTGGGGGAGAAAAAGAGGACTAGAGCATTCACTAGTGGGTGAGGGCCTGGCTGTGCATACCGTCGCCACAATCCTACAGGGGCCCTGCTGGGTGGGTGTCACCAAGCCCTTCTTACAGGAACACCAGATACTAGGCGAGAGAACTTGTTCAAGGTCACTGAGCCAGTCAATGAGGCAGACCCTGAATTGAAACCCAAGTATCACTTTGAAGCCCAGGCTCTTTCCGCAGCAACTAACTGGGGTTTGTGGTTCCTGAAGAGACCCAGACTCAAACAGGAACGCTGTGGGAAAGGCTGGGGGCGACATAAAATGGTGTCTCAAGACCCCCACCATTCCCGCTGACCTTAATTTTACCTCAACCGGAAAGGCCTTCGGCCCTTTCGGAAGTCACTTTCACCTAACCTAACCGACCACCGCTCTACAGGAAGTGACGGAAGTCACCCGGTGGACGGGAGGCGGAGTTAGGGAAGAGCCGCCCCAGCGGGCGTGTGGCAGCGGGTTTCGCATGGTCCAATGAGGGCGGGCGGCGTGGCCCGGCCTGGTGGCGACGGTGATGCGCATGCGCAGAGGCGGCAGCACGCTGGGGTTGACTCCGGGGGCGCGGCGAGGAGGTGAGCGGGGGCCACAGCCCGGGCTGGGGGGAGCCGGGGTGTAAGGGGGCAGGCTGGATCAGGCCGGGACTCCGAGTGTCAGGGAGGGATAGGTTACGAAGAAATTGGGGGTTGGGGTCGAAGTTGTCTGGGATGCCGCAGGGGGAGGGTTCTCACGCCGCACGGGGCGGAGCCCCGGGACTAGGGGCGGGACGTGAAACAGAGACGGGTGGGACCTCTGAGCTGGTCCGGGTGGAAGGCGGGACTCCGGGGTTGAGGGCCGAGCTAGGACTGGCGGGGGACGGAACCTGGTCCTGGGAGGAGGAGCTGAAACAGGCGAAAGGAGGAGCCTCGGGTTTGGAAACTAAGGGGAACGAAGTCCAGGTTCTGGGGGCGGGGCTTCAGCCGGTGAGTGGCGTGGTTACAGTTCAAGAAAAGAGATCTAGTCCTGTAGAGGGTGGGGCTTCAGGGTCGGGGGCGGAACTTCGCCCTCTAAAGGGTGGGGCCAAGGAAGCGAGCGCTGGAGTAGGCCTAGGTAATGGCCTGGGGCGTCCACGCGGGGGCGGTCTCCGCGGTGGCCGGGCCTGGGGGCGCGGTAGGCCGAGAACTCCCCCAGGAGAGGTGGTGTGGGTGGAGCGCGCTCGGCGGCCACCGGACTCGGGGCCAGTTTGGGTGCCCCGCAGACCTCCGAGGGCTCAGAGCTGGGGCGGCGCCCCGGGTGGAGGCACAGGGCCGGCCTGGGGGATATCCCCAGAGGACCGGGGCTCCCCGGAGCCACCCAGCGGCGATGTGTGGGTGCCTCGGGGCCGGCCCCCTGCAGCGGCCTCAGAGGTGTGGGTGTGCTGGACTGGGGGAAACTGGGTGTGGCGTGAGTGGGATCGCCCGGTTGGGGCAACTGCTGTGCAGCCAGATAGGGTCTGGACTTTGCGTAAAGGGACGGATGGAAATTGAAGAACGGAGATGGGGACCAGGAGGGAGGGAAGGACTGGGGGTGAGCAAAGGGGCGGGGCCCTGGCTGCTGTGGCCTCCCCTGACCCCCTCCCCCCGCTGCTGGGGTCCTCGGGCAAGCCCCCTTCTCACTGGACTGGTAAGTGTGGCCGTGGAGCCTGGGGGAGGGGGCGGTGACTTGGGACAGGGGCATTCCCTAGGGGCAAACAAGGTATGGTGGGGTTGGAGTCCTTCTGCTACCTGCGGGTATTCCATGCCCTTCCCGCCCTCCCGGTCGGTTGGTCGGTCGGGGTCTGTCCCCACAGAGACATGAGGCTGAACTGGGTCCTGACAATACTGTCCATCTGCCTGAGCGCCCTGGCCACGGCCGCAGGGGCCGAGGGCAAACGGAAGCTGCAGATCGGGGTCAAGAAGCGGGTAGACCACTGTCCCATCAAATCGCGCAAGGGGGACGTCCTGCACATGCACTACACGGTGGGTGACGCGGGCGGAGCTTCTGGGCTTGGGTGGGGCTTCTGGGGACCAGAAAGGACTTGGGAGCTAGGTTCCTCTGCCAAGAAGGTGGGTGACCTTGGACAAGTCCTCTCTCCCCTTTATGCCAGTTTCCATGGCTCTACCCTGCTCTTCACTGTCTACTCCCCAGGTTGGCACCAGCAAGCAGTTACAATGTACTGTGAGCTGCCTAATGTTCTGTCCCCTTCTAGGACTATGGCCACCAATGATGTGGAGGGCCAGCTTGATGAGAGCACCTATGTGTGTGTGTGGGGGGGGGTGGTTAACGAATGGACACTCAGTCTCACTGGCCTTCCTATGGTCCCACAGGGGAAGCTGGAAGATGGGACAGAATTTGACAGCAGCCTGCCCCAGAACCAGCCCTTTGTCTTCTCCCTGGGCACGGGCCAGGTCATCAAGGGTTGGGACCAGGGGCTGCTGGGGTGAGTCAGGGGGTCAGGACTGTGGTCTAGGAGGTGAACTGTGGGAGGCAAGCCCCAGGGATGGGGTGGGGGGCAGGGAGCCTGACTTCTGCCATGTGCTGAACATGTGCTGTCCTGCAGGATGTGTGAAGGGGAAAAGCGGAAGCTGGTGATTCCATCAGAGTTGGGTAAGAGGTCCTTCCTGAGTGGGGATGTTCAGAATGTGTGTCTGGGGAAGGATGAAGACCAAAGAAGCCTGCTTCAGCTTGTGCATTGGTTTCCCCCCATCCATTCATTAGTTCATGCCTCTTCCAAGTCTGGCTTTGTCCAGCAATGAGGACAGGGCAGGACCCTTGGGGCATTCAGAGCTGATACCCACCCTCTGCCCTCTACTAAGCCCTTTGCAGCCCCCTCCAATGCATTATACCTTCATTGCTGTCATTTCTGCTAAGATAGGCAGAGGCCTGGCTTCAGGATAGGTATTTGCAGAACCTCTGTCTTTGCCTGGCCACAGCTCACTGTTTCTTTGTGCATCTTTGACAGGATATGGAGAGCGGGGAGCCCCGCCAAAGATTCCAGGTAATATACCTTCCCGCCCCGCTATCTCTTGTATCCGTCCCATCTCCCTGTGATTTTGGTTCTCATTCTAACCCCACTTCTCTCCTGCAGGTGGTGCAACCCTGGTGTTCGAGGTGGAACTGCTCAAAATCGAGCGACGTTCAGAACTGTAGCAAAGCTGGGGAGGGGCAGCGGAGAGGCCATCAGGGACCAGACTGTTTAAAAGAAAAACAAAAACAAACTTAAAGCTTATGAAGTGAGCCTGTGTTTGTTTGTAGGCCCTGAGACTTAGAAACTCAGCCTCCTATCTCCCTCAGCATCCTCCACTTCTCTCCTTTTTGGCTTCAGAACCTTGGGATATGGACTCAGTAGCCTGGGGGTCAAGATGGTCAGGCCCTGGGGTGGCATGGTGGCCCTTGCCCAGAGGGAACAAAGTGTGTTCCTGCCTGCCAACAGCAACACTGCTTCCCCTCAGTTCCCCAGCCACTTCCAGCTCCTGGTCTGGGAGCCAGCACTGGGCTATCACCATGGCTACGTGGCCCTCAGGAAGGCCTGCAGTCACCTGGGGAGAAGCTTCAGCTAGCAGCAGTAATAGTGTGTCCCCCTTAAAAGAGACCAGCCAAGCCTGTTAGCTGCACCAAAGGCATATCCTAGCTTTATTAAAGGGCCCGCGCCGCAGAGTCAATATAAAAACACAAAAAGTCCCATCAGTTTAATAACAATAAAAAACCCCAAAAATGGAAAACTGAGGGGGCAGGGAAGAGGCCCCTAGGCCAGGGGCACAGGGAGCCCTGCTCATGGCACCAGGCCTGGCTGCAGGGCCTCCCGGTATTGCTGTTGCTACGAGGTCAGGGGGGCAGCGATTGTCCTGTGGGAGCCACCGTTCACCTGGGCTAAGGACCCTTACTTCTTCTGGGGTGTGCTCAGCTTCTGCATGCCCCGGATCTTGTCCAGCAGGCCAGAGATGAAGGCCTGGACAGGAGGTAAGACATTAGGGAGACCCGATCCCAAGATGACAGGAACCCAGACTCCTGTTACCCCACCCTCCAGGGGAACCACTTACTTACCTCAGTGGGTTTATAACAGTCAACCAGCAGCTCCTAGTGGGACATGGAAAAGAAGTATAACTGTGAACTCTCAGGAATGGGCCTGGAGTTCACTCATACCCACTTTGGAGGGACTGGGGTATCCCTGAGGTATGGGAGACGCCATAGCTAGGCAAGTACCATTAACTCCATTTGATGGAGGCAGAAGCTGAGGCCCAGCATCACAAAGTTGGCTGACTCAGACCAAAGAAGGCCTAGCTGCAGTCTTGTTTACGCAAGGGGCAACACCTCCAGGCAGTCCTCTACTCCCAGCTTCCCCGACCTGTCCCTGCTGCCCCTCAGCCCCTCTCTCACCTTGACCCTGGCAGCCCGAGTATCATCACTCTCCATGTCTAGGAGTTCGTCCACATCAATCTCCAGCTCTGGGATCTCCTCTTCCTGGGGTGGGGGTGGGGGAGGAGGGAGAGACAAGGGCCTGAGTTGGGAGAGAGGGTATGAGAGGGGCTCACTGGCTGAGGCCCCTGCCCTACTGCAGGATGAGCCAGCCCTCTTGTGCCCAGTAGACAGCGGCAGCTGCTCTGAGGAAGAAAACAGATCTGGCCGGTGCCAAGGCAAACTGCCCGATGCGGGGGGTGGAGGGGGAGCTTCCTGTCTCTGCCAGTTGGGCACCCTGGTGCCAGACAGGGCCAGACAGCTAGGGCTGGGGACCCTGGGCTGAGAACCCTGCAGATGTGTCTTCCCCAACTTCTGGGCCCCCCATTTCAACCAGAGCAGGTGGGGCCAGCTGTCCCAGCTCATCACAGACCCTTCCCCTCCCCCAAACACCTGTCACAGCTTCCCGGGAGTGAAAAGGAAGTGATGGGTGAGGGGTCATTGACAAGGACCCAAGACTAGTAAAGGGGAAACAAAGAGGTCATGCTTTGCTGAGGGAGGGGTGCCCACCACTCTCCCTACAGGAAGAGTCTACCCAGTCTGGAGTCAGCTGCATTCCAGGGCTGGGCTAGGGTAGGCAGCACAGGGCAAGCCCACTCCTCCACCCTGCCCCCTGGGGCCTGAGTCACCATTTGAGCTAGGAAGAAGTCATAGGGTGGAGAAACAGGACCCAGAGAGCAGGCTAGCCTTGCCCCCCCCACCCACAAGATGGAGCTCCAGGATAGCCCATTAGAATAGCCCAGATGCTTTACAGTGCCCCCACCAACCACGCTAGCGTCTTTTAGCCAGTCTAGGCTAGCAGGCACTAAGTAGCCCTCCTTCCACTGCTGGCCCAGGCTATCCTCATGCCTCCTGTCCAAGGCCCAGGCTACCCCTTGAGGCTTCTAAAGGACCCCAAGCTTGACCAGGGTAGTGACATGAGGGAGGCAGCGGAGAAGACTAGAGTTACTTAAGTCAGCCAAGAAAGAACATACATTGGAGGCGGGGAATAGACAGGAGGGGACAGCGTGGGAGCGGAGCGCACATTGACTCCGGGTGACAGGCGGGCTCAAGGTGGGGTTTCCAGGCGGCCCGACTCGGGATCGACTTTAAGGTGTCGGCTCAGGGTGGGGAACACACCTGGCAGTCGTAGAGGCGAGTGAGCTGCTCCAGGATCCACTCCTCCAGGTTGAGGCGCTTCCGTAGCTCCTTGCGGTCGTACTTGACCGTGACCTTCCCTTGGCGCCTCACTGGGCCCTCGTCGTCCGCGCCGCCCGGGCCCTCGCCAGCAGCCCCAGGGGGGCTCTGAAAGTAGACGCGGGGCCCTGGGCCGCCACTGC